TACTCGATCTTAGGTATTCCCTTAAGAGTGAAATAGCTAGGTCATACGGTAAGTCTATGTTTAACATTTTAAGGAATTGCCAAACTGTTTTTCAGAGTAGTCACACCATTTCACATGATGCAAAACAACATATAAGGGGTCTTCCAATTTCTCTACAGTTTTTCCAACACTTGTTTGAGTTTTGGATCCTAAGTTTGTTCTTGATCATTGTTTTATTTCTAATTGTTCCCAATATTTTTGACAACTGTCTATAAAATACATATAATCTGTTTGTATGTTTTTATTTCTCTTAGTGTGGTAGAAAATGTAAGGCAGGAAGAAATATTAACTTAAGCATGTTAATAGAAGCAATGAGGCCACATACAGTTCATCATCTTCTGTTAGTAAATTGGAAGGTTAAAAGATAATGATAATAATATACTAAAAGATCACACCACAGAAAAATAATACCTAGATATGAATAAAAATGGATTAGAAGAAAGAAGAATAATGTTTAAACTTCTCTAGAAGTTTTAAAGACAGTAATACAAATCAAGTTAAATGTCACAACAATAAGAAACATCTAAGTTCCCTTTAAATAAATTAAATAAACAAAGCAAGAGATGACATTATTGTTCCTTTTCAATTAGCATTAAAGTCATTCTAAATCACCAACATCTAAATAGACAAAGGGAAAAAAGTCAACTATGGGCTTTTACTGGCACTTGTAGCACTTGGCCATACACACACACACACACACTATATATATATATATATGACATATATAGTGTGTATATATATATATACACACACCAATATTAATATTAAACTCTAATAATTAAACACACACTATACATACACACATACATACACACATACACATATATATGTATATATACACTCAAAATATTATATATATTATGTTATATATGTATACTTTACTATATATACTGTATGACACACAGATGCACACACACAGTCTACTAGGAGAATCCTTAAAAAACCATAAAGCAAAATTCTACTGCACTGGGACAAGAAAAAACCCAGTAAATATATTTATTAGTGAATATTATTTACTAAAGCAAAATACCTAAGGTAGACCATGGCTGGCAACCCAATGGCCAATAGATTATCAATAAGAGATGGTATAGATCAACTACATCTAAACTGCTATACCATATTTAAACTGCTCTCCATCAGTAGCTTAAAGGAGGATTTAAATATGGCCACAAATATCCATGTGTTTCTAATGAAATGGGTGTATGAAATTGTATAATAAAGAATCCCGATTTCTTATTTCACTACTGAACCTGAATATTTTGTTTTACATGCATCCTAGACACAGTAGGGAAATAAGATATATTCTGCTTTATATTGTGAACTAAGAACTCAAGTTGTACCCATGTATGGACACTTCACAGCATCCATTACACTATAAGAAATAATTAAACACTAAATTAAATAACACAGACCTCCATGGTAAATCAACTAAAATGTGAATGTACCTGCATTGTCATAGAAGAATGAATACTACCACATTTACTTAATGTTAAATTCAACTATATACTTCATTTTCTAATTTCTTATAATGTATAATGTTAGTTTACCCAAAAGCAGTGATTAGAGACTTTTAAATTGGAATGTGTGTGTGTGTGTGTGTGTGTGTGTGTATGATCTGTGCTTGTTTTATATAAATGCATTTATTCCACAGTAAAAGTGGATTTTTTTCTTCATTTTGCCATAATGAACTAGTGAATTAAATTTGATATAACCTACCATATGGTTCCATTCAAAGGATACCAAATACTCTTTGACCTAATGAGAAATGATCAAAGTCTGAGCCTGTTTTAAAAACTCATGAAAATATTAGATTCAAGTGCTTTTCTTTTTTGTTTCTCCCTGAGTTAGTCCTTTGATGATCCATTTTATTAAAAGAAAAAAGGAAGGAAACCAATACAACATAGAGAATAAAACTAAGGAAACATCCTTGGGTAATATTTTATTTTAGATAGATTTATCGTGACACAGAAAAATCAGCATTTTGAAGTGAAAGTCATCAATGATCTAAGGACATGTGTTCCCTTCAGATGTCACAGTTGCTTCGGTTTTGTCAGTCAAGGAATTCACATTTTTATGGTTGGATTTTACTGCTGTTTAGATGCTTGTTAAATTTAAAGGAACATACCAGTGCTAAAGCAGTCAGAAAAGACTGAGTTTCTTCCTAGATGGAATGGCAAAATATTATATTCAAAGTGCAGACCACAGCTTTCAGCGCTCTCTATCGACTTACAAAATTACTAAAAACACGAATAATTCTCAAATGTCTTTGTTAATGTTTTATCACACATCTGTGTCATCAGCAAACCAAATTCTGTTAATAGAATTCACTGACATATTGTTATAAAGCCAGCGCACACTAGATTGAGAAAATAGTTTACCTAATTCAAGTTTTTTTGTCTTGCTATCAAAACATCATCACGGGAGGCCGAGGTGGGCGGCTCACGAGGTCAGGAGATCGAGACCATCCTGGCTAACATGGTGAAGCCTCATCTCTACTAAAAATACAAAAAATTAGCTGGGCATGGTGGCAGGCACCTGTAGTCCCAGCTACTCGGGAGGCTGAGGCAGAAGAATGTGAACCCAGGAGGCAGAGTTTGTAGTGAGCTGAGCTCACGCCATTGCACTCCAGCCTTTTTTTTTCTGTCTCAAAAAAAAAAAAAAAAAATCTCGTTATCCTTATTTAAAAAGAAACATGCATCTTGAATGTTGCAATGTATTATAGAGTGAAGACTAATCCAGCCAACTAAAATAGAGAGAGGGGAATTATTTGTACTTCTCATAAGGTAGACTGTTCAAATAAAGATGCTTCTGGTGCTATATTTGACATACATTCTTTTGAATGATAGAAACTTTGTATATGACTTTCTTATTTGAGATTAATGAGAGAAACACAAATCTTATCTACACAGTTTGTTAAAACCGCCATGGAAAATTTACCCACCTATGAGGTGGCAGAGATCTATGAAATATTATCTTCCTTTTATCTTCCCAGTTATCACTCTCTTCTTTTTTAGTGTGCTCAAGAACATAGTATAGTGTTTGTTATTGAAATTCGTATTAACAGTGGAGGCTTGAGATTACTAATTTGCTACTAATATGAAAGTTAAGTCATTGCTTTACATTAACTTGATCTTTGGCACCTCTCTCTGTCAGTGGGTCAGATATCCATTTTTGTAATATCTACCTGCATCACAGCATAACTTCTTGGCTCCAACATTATTCAACCTCTAGACTTTTCTCCGTCTTCTAGTCTTTTTCAAAATCTCAAGCCCTTTTCCTTTAGAGCCATGTTTTCTCCATGTGTTAACTAATGTTATACAAATAAGTATTTATTGATATGAGTATTATGCTAATTTATTAGGTAATAAGATCCATTAAAGAAATTCTTATATTTTATATAAAACTAGATAAAAAGCAGTTTAAAGCAAACTCGTTTTTAAGAAAACTCATTCAGTTATTGAGACAGCATCTTTTTTTCTATATACGTTATGCAAAATAATTAAAATAATTTTAGTATAGTGGTATAGAATTTTTTTTAAAAAAAGGAAATTTGGGAGGGAAAAAGATATCAAATCTATTTATTGTGTCAATGACCTATTACTGTTTCCATTTCCTATAAAGTCACTTTTTTTCTGATAAAAGTAGTACTCAGATAACTTTTATTCTTCTCTTTATTTTCTGCTTCTGGACGTAACTTTTGAATTTATTTTACTCTGTTTTTATAAATTCACTAGGCTCTCTAGAAGGCAAACGTTGAATTGAAAAAGATGAGATGTCTCAGTTTCAGTTCACAAGACCTTTAAATCTTATCATTGAGCTTTAATCTCCAGTGGCCCCAAACCTTTTTTTATCTCTTTCTTAACCTTCTTGGTTAAAACAGTTGTAGAAACTGGCAGAGCGAAACCTGTCTAGTTATCTCATGGTTCTTTAAAAAAAAAAAAAAAAAGAATTATTGCAGGCAGATATTTTTTTCCTATTCTCCTAGGAGTCTAAAAGTTTGAATGATTTGGCCATACTACTCTCTTCCTTCACATGTAAATAATTAAAATAATTGCTACTTAACTTGGCGGCTTAAAAAATACATGCATATTATAGATATAGACCCCATATCTACAGGTGACCTCGGCAGTTCTGCTCATCTAAATTAGGCTTAATTGATATTGGCTGTGTTTGTTTATAGGTCAACGCTCAGGTGTTCTGGGAACTCTGTATTTTAAGTTGCCTTCTTTTGCATATCTGACAATTGTTGGCTCTCATTTGAGATCACAGATATAATTAAACTATGGGTTTTTTTTCTTTGTTCAATATACTAAACCAGCTTTGTTCACATGATGACCTTTGTGTTCCCAAAGAGAAAGTGGAAGTATGCAAGGTCCCTTGAGGCCTAGAGTGAAAACTGGCAAAGTAGTACCTCTGTCTCATCCTGTTAGAGAAAACCCAGACTAAAAGGAATGGGAAATAGATTACATCATTTGATGGCAGGAACCACAGCCTCACACTGCACATGCATAGCTTAAGGTTGAAAAATAAATAGAGAGGAATTTTACAATCAATCTACCACACCATCTAAACAGAGAAGGAAAAAAATGTCTAATCTCAGCAAACACCAATTTTAATTGTTAGAGAGAAGTGGAGGAACTCTCCAAGGAAATTGAAAAACAGAAGCCAATGAGGTGGAAGAAAAACAGAATAATAGTGGTGTCCCCAGTGACGAGCAAGGAATAAGTTTCAAGAAGAGGGATGTGATCAACCCTCTCAAATGATGCTGATAGGTCCAGTAAGATGTAGCGTAAGAACTGATTACTGAATGTAACAATGTCAAAATCATTGCTTGGGTAGATAGGTGGAAACAAAACTTGATTGAAGTAAATTTAAAAAAAGAGTGAGAGCTGAAGAATTCAAATCTTAATATGCTAACATAATCACCAATATTATTAATTATTGTTTTTATTCCCAAACAGGTGAGACAAAATAGTTATTATCCAAACCAACACCCCCTTGAGAATAAGTGGAACTCTCCCAGACAAATCTAAATGTAATGCCTAGAAAGAGCAACTGAATCATTCCTTCATCTTTTTTTATGGGAACATATGAAGCTGTGCTAAATTGTGTGGTGGCAGTGATGACAGCTGTGGCCCATCTGGAGTGGCTGCTGCAAAGACAACGGCTGTAGCAGGTGAGGTGTGACTGGTGCTGCTCCCTTTGTGGAGTCAGTGGAAGCTGGAAACAGAGGGGAGTCCCAACCCCTTCCAAACTGGGGGGATGAGAGCCCTGCCCCTCAAGCACAACTTCAACCACCCAGTTGCAGGGACCCAGGAAGCTCCCAGAGGCTTGGAAATGCCTCCTCCAGCTGCTTGGCCTCTCCCCACTCCAGGTACCTGCTCTGATTTTGTAACAAAGCTGTGGCCGAGCCTGACCACTGTCACAACCCAGCTGAGTGTACACATGCTCGGGATGTGTACATATGCTCGGGATGCCTTTGGCCACCTTGGCCCCCTCTAGACTTTGGATGCTGACAAGCATGAGAGGGAGGCCAAGGAGGGGCTGAGGGCAGCTCAGCATGGGCCTGCAGGTGCCCCTAGTCATGAAGATCCTGGGTGCCTGGGTGCCTGGGTGCAGGGGAGGCAGACAGGCTCCTGGGCAGAAAGAGGTGGGTCCCTGGTGAAATTCCACATTCAAGCCAGGGATGGTCTGAAGTCTGGGGGCCAGACTGCCAGTTTCATGGAACAGAGAAAGAACTTATGGTGTTTTATCCAGGCCTGCCCATGGCTGCCCCTGGACCAATCAGCCCAGACTGCCTCCCCTCTGAAGCTCATAAATACCCTGAACTCAGCCAGACTCCAGCAGACAAATGGGATGACTTGCCTGCAGAAAAGAGCTATCCAGCTTGCCTCCAGAAAAGAGTCTCCTCTCTGCTGAGAGCTGTATACTTATCAGGATGACCTGCCTGTGGATAGAACTATCCACTCTGGGTCTCCTCTCTGCTGAGAGCTGTGGAGATGTCAGAATGACCTGCCTATGGTTAGGAATCACCCACTCTGGGTCACCTGAGAGCTGTACTGTCGCTCAATAAAGCACCTCTTCACCTGCTCACCCTCCAGTAGTCCATGTACCTCATTCTTCCTGGATGTGGGACAAGAATTCAGGATTTGCTGAATGGTGGGACTGAAAGAGCTCTAACACAAACAGGACTGAAACACACCTCCCACTTTCCACCTTGCAGGTGACAGGAAGGAGAGAAGAGAAAGAAGAGCTGCAGCCCTTCGGGGAGCCAAGACTAGGAGTTCCTCAAGCCAAGACTGTGACACCTTCCTTGGGGCTCTGTGGTTCCTGGTATCTTCTAGCTTCCAGATGCCACCATCTTCCCCAGTGACCATAGTGGAAACTGCTTCTTGTATGTCTGGTCCAGCCACAGCCTCTCAGGGAGCTGATGTCTGTGATGGCATGTGTAGCTGACCACCCTGCCACAGCCAACATGCCTGGCTGTGTGCAGTAGCTGGATGCTGTGCTCTCTTGCTCATATACCCCTCTCCGCTCCACACTGGACTCGCCCTTGGCAGGCATGTGATCCAGGCTGGTAGCACAAGCCTAGTGCGGTTTGCTAGGCCAAGTGGGCAGAACAAACCCAGTGGGCCCAAGCAAAACTTGGGCAAAAGCACCACAGGCCACAGAGGTTTTAGGCAGGCGAAGTGACACCCTAGGTCCTGTGACAATGGCAAGCTAATAGTCTTTGCTGATCGCTTCTTTTTTCTTGGAAATAAAAAGAAAGATCATCAGATAAGAGGAAGGATACAGGAAGATATTGGAAGTCTAATAAAAAGGGAGAAGTCATAAAGCAAGTGAGCAAATGAATGAACTAGAGAATTGCTTAAGAATGCTAAGCAGCACTAAGGTGGGTGGTTGCAAATGTAGCATTGTTACAGGAAGCTGTTGTTCATTGTACACATTTTTGCCAGTCATATTTGGCCGTGCAGGCAAAAATTAGTTGGAGAGTTGGATTTTATTAGGGTTGGCATTTTAGCAAGTAAGTACAATGAAGTTATAAAACAGAAAGGAAGTTTAAGGATAGCAGGAAGTGACTGTAATTAAAAAAAAAAAAAACAAGGACTCTAATATAAGTCATTAGAGAAATGACCATTTGAGGTGGGTACAGACAATCAAGTTATATGAGCAGTTGATTATATATAGCAATAGAGGAAAGAATTGTCAGTGTACTGGGAATGAGCTGAGAAGTTAAGAGGTGGAGGTGAAAAAGTGAAGGAAAATGCTGCAGGGATTTTGGTTATTTCAAATGAAAAGGGACGAAAATGATTGAGGTAGGTGGGAGACATGTTATTGGAGTATAGGAAGTGAAAGGACATTAAAATATGAAATACATTAAAATATGAAAATTAATTTTTACATGGAAATTAAATTGCCACTAATTACAAAAGCAGTAATGCTAGAGAATGTTAGTGAGACAAGTGCTAAAATCTTAAAGAACAGGAGTGAATGAATCATCAGTAGAAGATGGCACTAAGGAAGGAGAGTATAGATATAGTTTGAAGATAAGGGACTTAGATCTGAGTGCCTGGAAATGGAAATGAGAAACAAGGAGGATATGGAACCCTCTTCTGGCTACTCTGTGATGGGGTTACAGGGGAAGCAGAGTTCATAGGAGAAACAGATTTCAGGTTGAGCAACAAATGATGGAACAATTAAAGAAGACAAAGGAGAATTTGCTCGTGGTGGACTGAATTGCAGGGTACCATCAGAACATTTTAGTCTTCAGAGAGAAATGGAAGATGAGGCCTATTAGAAATATTTGGGGTAGGAATCTAAGGAATGAGTGGTATCCTGGGAGTCTTGGGCTTCTTATGGTTATTGATGTAAACAAACATAAAAGGCGTATAGGATTAGTTCTGGTAGCACAAAGAATTAAATGGTAGTAACATTATGAAAAACAGGAATGGGGAGGAGGTGTTCACTATTACATCCACATGGTTTATAAAAGTCATATTATATAGAATGGTATATATGAAGTGTGAAATTAATCATCCTACTTAACCCTCCATATTCACTAAGAACAGTTTATTTGTATTCACTGAAAATTTCTAAGCACATGTGAAATATATATAGATAGACGACTAGCTCTAATTAATGTTTCTATAATTGCATGCCTGCAAGTATATTTGTATTAGTCTGTTTTCACACTGCTGATAAAGGCACACCGGAGACTGGGCAATTTACAAAGGAAAGAGATTTAATGGACTTACAGTTCCACATGGCTGGGGAGGCCTCACAATCATGGCGGAAGGCAAGGAGGAGCGAATCACATATTACATAGATGGCAGTAGACAAAGAGAGAACTTGAGCAGGGAAACCCTCATTTTTAAAACCATCAGATCTCATGATACTCATTCACTATCACGATAACTATGCAGAAAAGACCCACCCCCAAAATTCAATCACCTCCTACCGGGTCCCTTCCAGAACACATGGGAATTGTGAGAGTTACAATTCAAGATGAGATTTTGGTGGGGACACAGCCAAACCATATCAATATTTATATAGAACAAAGATACTGTTCATTCTGTTCTTTTATCTCATTGAATTTACCTTTGGAATATTTATTCAATAATCATATGTGAATGTATCTTACTTTTTAAAAACCTTCCTGCATTATTTATCTTTGCATTGATTTATTTAACCTTTTGTCTACTGATGAACATTTAGGTTGTTGACAGTTTCTTTTGGACTTGTAAGCAATAAACATATTGCTACATACTTCATTTCACAACATGTTATGAGGGTTTTGTATAATATGAAAACCGTGAAAAAAAATTTATACTAAATTATACTAAATAATGTTTTTTATGTTAAATGTTGGTACTTACTGATAAATTGCACCCCCTCTATCCACCAAACTTACAAAAATATGTGCCGGCATTTCATGAGATACACTGCGCAATATGGATGCTGGCAAATTTTTAAAACTTGTCAATTTTCTATTTGAAATAAAAAAAAATTCCTGCTTTAATCCAAAGACTTTCAATAACAAAGGTGGAAATTTTGATAACGATATACACACACAAAAACACATATTTTAAGAGACGTTATTAGGCCAGGTGAAAATATTCCATATTCCACAAATCACTCTACCTGAACAGTTTCTCGCACCTTTTCACAGGGCTAGTCTTGAATCTGAGCAGGATATATCGACTTTCCCACTTGCTGTGAAGGAGAGAAATGATTTATTTGATATCTATTCCAAATACACACAAGTCAACTAGGGAGGCAGTCGGAATTTTACTTGAATGATTGCAGCATATTTTTTTTTTCTTTTCTCCCAGGCATGTAATATTTAAACTTTTGGCATATGTCAAAGAGTGCTTTACCTCTGGCAATCACAGCAGGTCCTTTGAGGAATGCTCAGCCTGGAACCCATCCCTGGATGTCACATCATTATAAACACAATTTCCATCTTCTCAGTTATCCCCTAGACATGTGTTGAAACTTTAACTTCCTTTTCTTAACATGAAATGTCTTAGTGACACACTTCTATTTTTTCCAAGTATTTATTTACCTTTACTGATTCATTTTATTTTCCTTCATTTTATGTTATTTTGTTTACTTGAGGTATTAAAATAAAGTTTTCTGATGAAACCACATATTTGTTTAAGAAAAACCAACTAGAGACTAATAAAGTAAAATCTGTTGAGTTTATGAAATAATTTCATACTTTAACGTGTGTCTATTTCAATTAAAATCATATATTTATATAACTTTTTTCTCTAAATAGTTGATATAAAGTCAAGGATGCCTCTTTTAATATTGACTGGGTTCAGAACACACTGCCCTAAAATAGGGCACCATCACATTTGGAAAAAGAATAGAAGCAGGAATATCACCCTCACCTTCCCCTTCCCTCTCCCCCCTCTAAAACAAGCCATAAAATCTGGCTAATCTTCACCTGAAGTAGGTCATAACACCCTCATTGCTGTTCTCTCCCTATACCCAGAGGATTGCCATTATCTCTGAAGACACAGGGACACACAGAAAAATCTGAGCAAACAGGCTTTGCTAAGTTTCCCCCAGTTTATTAATATTAGGTCATACTTCTCCAAGATGGTCCATTCTTCATTAAATCCAAGCACAAAATGTAGAGGTTTTTCTGTTTCTTTGGATCTTCATTTCTGCAGGCTCCTGTGTAACATAAAACTTACATTAAGCAGAGTTTTATATTTTCTTCTTGCTAATCTGGCTTTTGTTACAGGTGCCTCAGCCATGAACTAAGCAGTGGGTAAGAAAAGAGATATTTCCTCTCTTAGGCATACACCAATGGACATTTCACATCTCTTTCTTTCACAAATCACACATTTAATATATGATGGGCAATTTCTTTAGATGGGAATATCAATGTAGATGCCATCTAGAAAAATGAAATTTTAGTATCTTGTCTTTTTTAAATGCCTCACCTACCTCTAATTTGACATTTTTAGTGATTCACCTTTACCAAATCTTTCCAATATATTTAATTTAGTTTTAACATAAATTACTATCTCTTTTACATAAGTTTCTTTGGTCCTATTTTCATTAATTAAGCTATGTAATGATAATAAATAAAAGAAAAAGAAATATTTTAAGCAAGCACAATGGACTCTTGATAATCAAGTTGCTCCCCTAAAGGGAACAATAGTGCTAGGGCATACTAGAAAAAAAGGTCATTCTAGCAAATATATTTATTTAATTATTTTTGTAAAATATATTTATTATAATTATTATTTGGGGAAAGTGCATAGAGCTCCTAGACACTCAGTTGGGTGAAGTGTAGTTAAATGAAGGTATCTTCTATTCAATTCTATGCTGTTTATTATGATAGGTATTTTGCATTTACTATTGTCAATTCACAAAACAATCCTAAGAAATAGGTATTAATTCCTGTTTGCAAATGACGAACTTGAAGTTGAAAGTGATGAAGTAACTTGATCAAATTCACAAAATTAATGTGTTGGAGACAGAATTTCAACAAAGAAACCTCTCTTATATTGAATGACCTTTCAAAAGATAGCACTCCCCAGAATGCTGACTGATAGTCTACGATCCCATCAATGCATTTCTGGTGCAATATATGCCAGATTGTCCCGTAAATAAACTTTTACAACTGAGAAATATATAGGATCTACTTTTCTAGATTTTTTCTGAGATCCAATGAGGATCATCTGAAAAGAGTGACAATTCATATCTAAATAGTTGAGTGTATAGAAACTATCAGAGTTTAATGATGTTTGTGTAACTCAGTTCTCTACAGACAAATAAGAACAGCTGAAGTAAAGATCAGAAAGTCACTAGAATTTTTTTTTTTTTTCATTCTAACCCACGGCCTTAAGTCTACAAATCTTTGATTACCAACCATACTTCACCATTAGCTGTATAACAAGAAACAAAAAAAGAAATGATTGTCTTGGCATGGTGGCCTGTAATCCTAGCACTTTGGGAGGCTGAAGTGGGAAGATTGCTTGAAGCCAGGAGTTCAAGACCAGCCTAGGAAACTTAGTGAGACCCATCTCTACACATTTTTTTTTTAATTAACTGGATGTCAGGATGCATATCTGTAGTCCTAGATACTCGAGAGGCTGAGGCAGGAACTTCGTTTGAGCCCAGAAAGTAAAATAAATGGCTAAGAAGTCACTCTCAGGAACAATACTGTTCAGCCACATTCACTAGTCGGGTAAGCAATTCAGTGTACTTGAGTTATTAAAATGGAGGTAGGACTCCATTCTGCTCTTTTACTTCCTTGTATAGGATCTAACTGGTTAACTTGAATGATGTCTCTTCCCGCATGGATAAAGTTATCTTCTCTTCCAGACAGTCTTTATGTTCGGCTTTGTTAAAGCAGGAAAAACAGAGGTCTCTCTGGTCTGAAGCTCCAGAATAGCAGTCTGCTCAAGCATTAATATTCAAGCATTAATGTTACTTGCTTTTGAGGACTTGAGATACAAGTCTAACTAAAATACAGTATGTAATTCCTTTCCTTTATAATTATCCATTTTTAAATAAATCTACCTTAAGGTATTTTAGAAAGAGGAGGATGATTGGCATGCCAGGATTTGGCATTTTTAGGTATTAATACTATCGGATTCCCTTTAATCTCTCTCTCACTGTCTCTCCTCTCTTTCTCTTTCTCTCTTTATATATAATTAGTATATGTAATTTGTGTGTCTACACACACACACACACATATAGTATAACATATCCAGTGACACATTTTGTAAAGTTCAATCCTGTGATTTTTTAACAAATATATACAGTCATGAAACCACTACCTCAATCAAGATAAGAGAACATCACCTCAAAAATTACCCACTTGGCTGGGAGCGGTGGCTCACGCTCGTAATCCCAGCACTTTGGGAGGCTGAGGTGGGCAGATCACAAGGTCAGGAAATCGAGACCATCCTGGCTAACACGGTGAAACCCCGTCTCTACTGAAAATACAAAAAATTAGCCAGGCGTGGTGGCAGGCGCCTGTAGTCCCAGCTACTCAGGAGGCCTAGGCAGGAGAATTGCGTGAACCCAGGAGGCGGAGCTTGCAGTGAGCTGAGATCGTGCCACTGCACCCCAGCCTGGGTGACAGAGCGAGACTCCGTCTCAAAAAAAAAAAAAAGGTAATTTCCTGCCTTTCTGCAAACTTTCCTTCCCAATCATATATACATATATGCACGCACACACACATACATATACATATATAATATATACATATGCATATATAAACATATACATATACTATATATTTACATAATATATTATATATAAAGATATACAGATATGTATATCTTTATATATAATATACAAATATATAATATATAAATATTATAACAAATGTGTGTATATACATTTAAGTAAACTCATAAAAATGAACTGCAGGATTAGCAGAAGAACCAAAGAATTGTCAACCTCAATATTTTAGAATGTTTAGACAGAGAAAATCCTCAAATACAGACAGTAAAAAAGACAGACAAGGAGACAGACAGAGAAAGACAAAGGGAAGTGGGGAAAGAGACTGAGAGAACTTAAAAAACCAAGTGTTCCAGAGAAGAGTATCAAATTCTTCTTCTTTCTCAAACTAATTTATTACTACACGTTTATAGTGTTGAAAGTTAAAACTCTGGATATGTTTCAGAGAAATTAACTTAAATGTCTTACCAAATTGTTCACGTGGTTACATATTTGTTATTAACAATAAATGATTTTATTGAATACATCTAGTAACTTTAGGGCCATAATTTATCAAAATATATTATACTGAAGAATAAAATAATGGTAATACCCATAGTTACTTAGATGCATACCTTATTCCTTTAATTGAAATGCAAGCCTCTTTTAAGAGGAGCTTTTTTTTTTGTTCATTCACAACAGTGTTGCCCCCCCCTTTTTTTTTTTTTTTTTTTTTGCATTCACAGCAGTGTTGCCCATATTGTAGGTGATATGGGAATTTAACCTAGTAAATAACTGTCAAATAGGTGAGTAAAATTACTGATTAATGATAATATTGACACATAACTATTCTCCAAAATGGGAAACATAGTAAAAGGGGGAAACAAATTCAAATAAATGAACTTTTTCTTCTACAACACATATTATGCATAAGAAGTTATGCCATCTCTATGAACTGGCACT